TTACAACTTTCCCCTGCGTTTTCGCTCAAACCGTTGTTCTCGTTTATTTAGTTAATTGCCACATATGAGATAATCGGCGCTTTGAAAAACACGGTGCCAATCAATTTCTTCAGTTTTGCTTTTTTTTTTCCTGAGTCACTGTGAGATCAACGTCTTTTCAGTGTTTTCAGAAAAGCTCGTGCTGCTTTTTAAGATAATGTAGGTAGGTGTTGCTGGCATTTGGGATTAATAGTCATAGGAATGGCATTTTGTGGTGACAAATAATAAACTGCAGCGTTTGAATGTGATATTTAGCGAAATGTCTACTTTCTCCTCCCCCCAAAAAACATGAAATTCTAGTAAAATGCCTTTATTGAAAGAACAAAAGGACTTCTATATTATTTAGCATTTAGAAATCTATTAAGAATCTGCAATTTTGAGTGTTACCTAGAATTTATAGGCATCAAACTATCCAGTAGGTTCCCTTTACCTGTCGAATAATATTGAAATAAACACACACACTTTATGTAAAGCAAGAGTTCATCCTCTCAGTTGCCATGTCAGCATTCACCAATTATGTTTACAGGCAATGGGAAAAAAAAAAAACTGCTTATCTATCTGCTTATGTGAATGGCAGGAGGCAGAGAGTTCATGAATATTAACAATAGTCGCGCCTCGGACAACGTGTCCCCCCGCATCACTTTGCTTGTCAGCTGGCATTAGCTCTTAAACCGTCTCCGTGTAAATGGGTCTGACACTTCTGTCTGATGGGAAAGATGGGAAGGAAGGGTGAGGTGAGCTGAAAAGAGGACAGAGGGGTTAGATTTTCTGGCCGGCGTCTCAGAGTAAATGAAGAATGGTTAGTTTTATTGCCAGAACATATCCCTTTGTGAGTATTTTGGGACCCGACTGCTATTAACTCTCCTCCCTTCGCTGCACGACTCCGAATATATGAGTGCTTATCCTTGCCCTTTCTTGTGTTGCACTGTCTTCTAACTTGAAAGAAGTAACCTCTTTAAATGCATACAAGACAACATGTGCGTTACGTGGTTTGTTCCCTGCCATCTCCTGACCACATGTCATGTCCTTGAGCGAGACCCTGACCCTCTAAATTGCTCTTGAGGAGCAGGCCGGTGCCATGCATGCCAACTCTGCCACCGTCGCTGTGTTTGTGTGTGTGTGTGCTCAAGTGAATGGATGGCTTTGTAAGGAACTTTGTCCCTCTCAGGCTGAAAATCGCTGGCGGCGTAGCTCTAGAGATGGCATTGTTGGTCTGTCAGTCAGTCAGATCATTGCTTTGGTCCAGACTGCATTGACTTAGCATCTATACGATGGATTGATGTTTCGTGCAGACGTTCATGTTCCCATCAGGGAGAATTGCAATCACTTAAGTAATCCCTTAACTTTTCTTTAAGCACCATCACCAAGCAAAAAGTTTCATTAGTTAAAAATACGTCTGTCTTCTGTTGTTTCACTTTGCATTTCGAATTATAGATTTGATTTGACCGATTGAGCCAACATGCATTCAACAAACATAAATATAGCATTAATTTAGCAGCAGCTATCTGCTATGTACAGATCTAATGGCTTCCTTAGCAGAAACTAAGGTCACACTCCTTCTGCAACCCAGTGTCCACAAACTTACGTTCCTGCATTCTCATTTATGTTTAGTATTAAATGTATTTTCTCACCTGTGACATTGTAGGAGAGACATCCAGTTTGAAAGGGCAACAAAGTCAATGTAAGAAAGTAGAAGGCAGGGATGGAGGCACAACTCAGCAACAAGTTTTCGCACCATGGGGGATGAGAGACCTTCAGTTTTAGACTTTAGTTTTGTTCTCAGACATTGTTTACTTTCGGTTTTCTCCGGTTAGGTTTAGGCACCAAAATTACACTGTTAGGTTTAGGAACAAAATCAGGATTTGGTTGACAGTTTCACAATAATCACTACATGTTAGAAGCTTGGTTAAGGTTAGGCACCAAAATTACTTGGTTAGGAAAAGGAGAAATGTCATGGTTTGGGTTCAAATACAACCCTTCCCTTGAAGTTTGTCCATTTTCTGGGTTACCAGGGTGGCGAGTCAAACCCCATCTGATATTTCCCTGGTTGGCTCAGAAGGAGGCTGTTACGGGCCCATGGTGTTTGATTTGTAGCAACATCCACCATCTTCTTTTGTGTTGTCGCCGTTCTGTTATGTTCATTTGCGTTACTAAGCAATAAATTGCTTTGCCTGGACCGTTTCCGTCTGGTTTTTGTGTTGTCACATCCATCTGACCCTGGAGGCTGGATCGTAACAGAGCCTCGGTAAAGTAATACAATATACACAGCAAAGATATTAGAATTGTATTTGTGATAATGTGTTTGATGATGCAGTTTAGTTGTAGTGGAACGTAATGCTTTTGGGGCAGGTTTGCTGTCATCTGAAGTTCTGGGTTATATGTTTTGATAGCTGGTTCGGATGCATGTTAGTGGTTATTAGTGCATGTGAGTCCCTCACTTTGAAATAGTTGGTATACCCATAGTTGACCTCCCCACACTGGAAAAGCGTGTGCAGTCCAAGTGTTCAATTCCAAAATAAAAAGTTAACAACAAAGTATTTTTATTGTTATTTACCTCATTTATGAACACTTATTTTTTCAGCTAGGTGCGAGAGCCTCTGCTGCTGTTTTGCTGCTCCGCTTGTATCTGTTCTGCTCCAGTCTTTGTGTGTCTGTTTCCACGTACAAGTTTGCTCTGGTCCAACAGATGGTGGAATCAGAAACACACAGAGCAGATGCGACAGGTGCAGTGAAGACACAACCCAGTCTCCACAAAATGACCTTCCAGTTGAAATAAACTGCATTAGGTTTTGACGGAAATGTATTTTCTGCCAGATTACGTTTGTTTGCATCGTATCACAAATACATTTCTAACCCTCTTATAGTTGCTTTGTATTTTACTGCTTCACTTCTTATCAGCAAACCACTAATATATTCAATGGGACCGGACTCGTCACCATGGTAACCCACAAAATGCAGAAGATGCTTCACATATGGAGTGATAAGGTCGTATTTTATTCCACACATAACATTTTTCCAAACCCCAGCTAGGTAATTTTGGTGCCTAACCTTAACCAAGCTTCTACCATGTTAAAAAAATGTCGAACAAAACATGATATTTTCCTAAATGTAACCACGTAGCTGTTGTGCCTTAACTGAACCAGAAAGCGAGTGAAAATTACGGCGAAAAATGAAATTCTTTGGGTGATTTGTCGTCCATCACGGGACGCGAACCCTGCTCTTACTTTTTGTTGTCACTCGTGTGCACAACCTCTCCACTTGTGCAGGGAAGGGTGTGGTGTGGGAACATGACTGTTAATTTTGGTCTGAGATACTGGTTCTCTAGTGACATCCAGTGGTTCTGAACGTTGCACCCGGAACCTTTAATTTCACTTTAACGAGTCTTTAGGTTGAAGCTGCAGAGGTTTGACTCTTGCTGTCATCTCAGCTCTCTCATATCATGCACAATGTCACCCTCACCGTGCTGTACCTGTAGTTATGAATCTGTATGCTGAGCCGTTTGAATTTAAAGTGCAACTTGAGCTGCGGAGCCTGAACTTGGCCTTAGACCCGTCCTGTGTGTTTACTGGCTCGGAAGACGCCTCCTCCTTTGATAGCTGTTTATTCAGGTCAGGAAGAGAGAGACGGAGAGACAGAAAGTGAGAGAGAGATCCCACACTACTAAAAAAACAGATTGGCCTCGTCTGGCTCCTAGACAAGCTTTTCAAACTCTTCTTTCACTCCTCTCCCTAAGACGCGCTTTTCTTCTCCGCTTTTCTTCTCCCCCTCTAATCCGTCCTTCTGCCTATTTAGAGGTGAACGGCGCAGCGTGAAAGAGAGAGAAAGTGTTTTTGTGCGCTTGACGGGTAACCCTCGCCCTTTTGAAAAGGCAAACAGGGAAAAGTTGCCATTACTACTGGCATAAAGGGATCTTAAGACAATGGGCTTTTCTGCCACTTTATTAACATTGTAGAGACTAGAGCAGCACTGCTCCTCTTTCACCCTGCTCTTTCTCTGTCACTTCTCTGTCCGTGTTTCATTCCCTGAGCCAGACATCCGAGTGATTAAGAGGAAAAGAGGCAAGCTGGGAATTAATGGGGCTGCTACGGGGTTAGATTGGCCACTGTTTTTCAGTCTTAATTTAACAGGCTTCTTCCTGCGCCTGCTACCGTAGTGTTTGCTGTTATTATTTTTTGAGATTACCACCTCTTTCCCAGACATACGGATATCAAAAACAAAAACAAAAGTGATGTTTGGATAACTCTGAGAGTCGGGGGGGAGATTGTTCGGAGTTCGCAGACCTGTGAATTTCCGTGCTGGGTGGTTGGAGGTGAGGGAGGAGGAGGGGGCAAGTGAAAGGAAAAGCAGAGGAAATATGGAAGTTGAAAACATAATAAACAAGCATAATGTCTGGACGGAGATTGGGGAGTGTGGGAGCTTTCGGTGGAAAGAGTCTGATGAGGTGTGAAGTATGATTGAGGTATATGTGTGTGTGTGTGAGAGTTACGGTATGTCCCTTAACAATACTGCTATCATTGTCTTTGGTTTAGGAAATGTGGTCATTAAAATTCGCAAAAGTCGTAAGCAATCAGACACGTTTCCGTTTACAGTGAACATGCGGTGCTACCTCCACAGATATGTAACTCCTGCCTTTTTTTTTTTTTGGTTTGTTTGTAAAGTCCTGCCTTACACACTCATACATGTCCCACTTGTGCCACCGACATTAGTCACTACGGAGTATATTTGCAAAAGACCGAGGGCTGTAGCACCTCTCATAACCTCATAGTGTGGACTCAGGAAGCAAACTGGCCTTATCGGGGGCAGACACACAAAGCTGTCCTGGCTGTAGGGTGGCGAGGTATGCGTAAGTGCATGTGTGTATGTGTGTGTGGAAGAGGGGGGAGATGGCGGTGGGAGGCACTTCCTCCTATTCTTCTGCTGTTGAAGAGTTCCCATGAGCGCCCCTGCCAGGAGCTACAGTGTGGCCCGAGCAGGCCGAGCCAGCACCAGTCTCGCCTACATGACGCCGCCACGCTCTCACACAGCTGATCTGAGCTGCTACTGCAACTTCTGCTGTTCAGGCAACAGAGCAAGGAGCTGCACAGTGCATTACGGGACAGAGTAAACCGAGGAGAGGACCGAAAAGATAAACAAGAGAAGAAAAGGAGCTGAAGTTTCCCAACAGAGAAGTGGAGCACATGAAGCTGTGGATGAAATGATAGGTACAGACGGAGACCTTGTTGTCATTACTGACAAACCTTGAATGGGGGAAAAAAAAAAGTGCAGTTGAAGGTCAGTGGCAGAGTGATTCACATTTTTGCAGAGAGGACGAGAATATTAAACCCGAGACTCATTTGGGGGAAAGGTGATTCAGAGTGAAGGCCAATTTGCCTGAAAAGAAATCTCAGAGGAGCGCTTTTGTTACACTCGACAGATTCCTGTTTGTTTTCCCTCAAGGTGAAAAGCAATATTATTATCAAGAGCCACCCTCAGCTGGACTGTCACCTGGACACCTCGGGACTGAAGTCACCCTCAGCTGCTCTCCGGGCAGCTGTCACAGTTGAGATGATCCACAACACCCTGAAGTCAAGCGAGCCGCCGGAGCACAGCCCCAGGAGAACACACTCGGCCGCACAGAGGAAGCTGTGGCGATACTCGGGATGTAGAGGGGCCGGCCAGGTGGAAAGTCAGCGTCGCAGCGTTTGTGTGTTGGCTGCGGACTTGAACACTGGAGGAGGAGGAGGAGGAGGAGGAGGAGGAGGTGGTGTGATGCACACTATCCACGGGCTGTGTCACCTCTGCATCGGATGTAGGCTGCCTCAGGTGTGTTCGAAAACAAAAGAAGTGGGTGGAAGGAGGAGGAGGGTTTGATTGAAACACCAAGACAATGAATGAAAACGGTTGCAATCTCTTATCTGCGCTTTTCTAATTTGCTTGCAAAATATAAAATAGGACCCATAATTCCTAACATTAGGCATACAAACAGTCAGGAATCCAAGCGGCGTTATCTTTGTTTACACACTACTGGATCCTGATATTATTGTACAAAGGAAAATGCACTTTCAGCTGCACGTCCAGCACACCCGGAAAAAAAAAAAAAGTGCTGGTGAGTGAGTGCAGGAGATATGAGGGATGTGCTTTTCTTGAAAGGGGAAAACCAGCTCTGTGTCTTTTACATTATTTATCCTGAGAGAAAGATCTGATGGAGGTGGAGGGCTAAAACAAGGAGGCAAACATTTGTGATGATATGAACTGAGACCCTGCTTTTGAATTGCACATTAAAAAACAAGATGCCATAATATATAATAATGATATTACATGTGTATAATTTAGCTGACTGGGGAGGATCGGGAGCACAAGCTGAATCGACTAAAAATGGCAGTCACATCTTGAGAATATTTGCAAGACTGGGTTTATAAAAACGAAGCGTGACACATGTCAGATGTGTGTGTGTGGGTTTTACTGTCCTGTTGTCACCGAACACACTGACCCAGATAACACCATCTAATCGCATAAAGACACCGCGTGTAGGTAGTTGTTAAATGTTATTTAGTCTCTGTGCACCTGTCGGAGGTCAGCGTTTCCTCTCCTGCGCTGTTACCAAAGCCGTCGAGACACATGCTACAATAATCGGATGGAGATGGGCAGGATTTCTTGCTCCTGCCTTCATGCGGTCGTGTGTTTGAAATGATGGCGAAAGCACCGAGGCGTGAGTGTAAAAAAGGGAAAAGCTACGTCGCTCATGCATGAACACATGCTGCACACACACGAGCTGCAGGCTTTTCTTCCTTTCAAGTGTATCTAAATCATTACAAGAAAGTTCAGATCTCAAGTTTTAGTCTTGTCAGTTCTTATAGGATTGAATTATTCATTCATCAGTATTGAACTGCTCACACAATTTAAATATTTAATGCACGCTGGCAACTTTCCCCCTTCATATATCTTCATTCATTTCACTAATATGTCTTGTGATTGATGCGCTGACGGAAGAAAAATCACTTAAAGAACAGTCATACTAATCGATTTGGAATATTATCTTTTTTTTCTTTTTCAATTTGAAAATAATCTGCTTTCGTTTAGAAGTTGGAAAAAAAAGGGAAGCTTTTCCAAGGCAGACTTGAGGTAGTCCAAGTTCTCGGGGCTCAGCAATCCTTACAAATTTAATTAACGCTACAAAGGCCCTGGATTCTGGATGAATCAGTCCACATTAGGCGGCTCTGTGAGCTTCCCCCTAAAAAGGACACAATGTCTGAGAAAGCTTTTGATAAAAAAGGCACAAACGTAGATGCGGGACAGATAGATGAAGCATGACTGATAGATCTCCGCCTCACTTCTGCTCATTTTCAGTCACGGCCATTTGTTTCCTCTGATTTATATCACATATTCGATTTCAAGCTGGTCTTTCAAAATGTGACAACGAACTGTTTGTTGTTTTGCCTTTCGTAATTTTACTGACATGTTCTGTTTCGTACCATCTGTTCCTCTATTTGTCTTTGTCATCTGCTCTGCTTTTGCCACTTTTTGAAGTCCCACTGCCCTCTTTTGCCACCATTTAATGTCATTTCATGTCTTTCCGTCTAACGTCAGTCTCTTGTGTGTCTCGTTTTTTTTCTTTCTCTGCGCTTGTCACACAGCCAGACTTTAGAATTACACATTATACCTGCCTGTCTTCACACTAAAACCCAGAACACTACAATAGTGTTAGCCTACATAACACTCTCTGTACTCTTTTGCCATGGCCAGATATTAATTTTAAGAACCAAACGTGCCCCAGAAGACAGAGATAGAGACGAATTCAATGGATTGAGGGTTGGAGAAATATGGCAGAAGAGTCGTTACACATAACAGCGTGACACAGGGCACACGAAAAATCAGTGGACGATAAGAAACATCAAATGCACCCGACATTTTAGGGTCATGGCGAGCTTCGGGCCATGTAATAATCAGTGTATTTCTCAAACTTGCTGCGTTCTCGCCCGGGGCCAGACTTTGTAATTTAGCAGCACGTTCGTGTAGTTTTGTAGAAATAAAGCGAGCGAAAGCGTGCGGATGTCTGTGTGCTTTGGGCCCCTGGTTGTCAGCAGATGAGATGGAAAGTGAGATGTTTTGGATGGAGCTTTGTTGACTTTGGCGCAGGCGTTCGGTGTGCAGGTACTGAATGTTTGACGAGACAAGAGAAAGAGAGACAAAGGGAAAAGAGCCATCAGCATTGTCTCTGCATGTCCGTGTGTGTGCGTGTTGACATGAGGAATGCTGTGTCTTTTTTATTTTGAAATACTGTACCGCAATAACTAAGCATACATCCCTGATTGGGCGCTGCATTCTGGTAGAACCTCCCCATTTCCATCACCGTGCACATTCATATTTAGTTATTTATTTAGGGTTAAAAACAGGAGAAATACGTAGCGTACAATGGTTTGATGATATTTGGATGGAGGTATTACACTTCAGAAAGGAGTAAAGTCAAATATTGCTTAATCTGGAATTGTTTTTCTTCCTGTTTCATGATGCATATTTGAAGTTCTTGATGTACCCTATGTGATATTGTTAAAGAAAAGCAAATCTAACGCTACTCTTTGCTTGCACAAATACTCAAATATGCAGCTTTCCCCCCTATATTCTTCCATATCATGCACCTGTTGTGGTTCGTGTGTGTGTGAGCAAACCCACACAAACCCCTGTGTTTCTTCTTTGACGCTTTCTAGGAGCTGAATTATCTTCCAACATAGTTAAACAGACTGTACGCTATCTACATACAGCTAAGTATAGACATGAATTATTAGGCCGTCCGCTTCTGGTCGATTGTGAGGATTATTCCATTTTTTTTTTTGCCCCGCTGCTGGACAAAGATTGTGTTTATTTTTATCTCTGGAGATGTTTTTCCTACCAGCTCAGCTAATTGGGTTCACCGGGAAACTGCTGTCAAGACAGTTTTAATAGGAAGTGGGAGCATAACACAAAGCTGCTTAATCGTCCTGTAGGAAAGAAGTTGATTATTTTACCAGCATGCCACTTTTCGTTCCTCAGGTAGCAGGTCGAGAGGGTGAGTTCCTATCTTCGAATGCCTAAATGACTGTCTGTGTGTGTGTGTGTGTGTGTGCGTGTGTTCTGCAGGTGACTATCCTTCGAGGAAAGGATGGATATGGCTTCACCATCTGCTCGGATTCCCCTGTGAGGGTGCAGGCTGTTGATCCAGGCAAGTTTCGCATGCACGTCGTTGTACATGAAACTCAGCTATCCACTGAGAGACTGTTGGTTAACCCTCTCAATCCCAAGCAGCTTCCGACTGTCTTATTTGCTCCTGCCACATTTTTACCAACTGTGGACTCAAGTCCTTGGAAACAGCACAGAAGTGGACAGAAAATATCGCCCAAAAATGTCTTTAGTGCAGTCTAACAAAGTTCTAATTGGATAAATCATAAAAAAGGAAGAAACAAAAGTTGAATTTATCCGGTTACCTATTTTAAAAAAATTGAAAAAGCATACAAACAGCTTGTATAACATGTGCCTACAGGTGTTACCAATACTAGGAGAAAAAAAGAAAGGAAAGAGAGGTGGCTCTACATCAATATATTGACATTTTACTCCTGACATTTTAAAATGCTTCCGTACTTGTCTCTTTGTTGATCTTTGTAAACACAACATGCAGTTCAGCTGAGAAGTCTATGACATTTTTTTTTCAATAGATGTTGAAAAAGGTTGTTTGATTTAAAAAAAATAAATAAATAAAAAATCACAATTTTAAGCTTAAATTCAGTTCGTGCTCACGAGGAGATTCTTTTCTGTATTTTTATTACACTTTTGTGTTTACAGTTTCTTGCTCTGATGTATATATTTTTAAGATAGTATGCTATTTAAAGCTACCACTGAGTTTTGGAATTTAGAGGATTAAAATGTGATGTTTTTACTAATCCAAGATGTTAAATAACAAACTAAACTTCTTCTAGACCCACGTCTTGTGTGATGGAAAAGTCTTTCTTGTATATATTACTAGCTTCATGAACAGAATTACAGTTTCCATGCAGATTTGATGGTAATAACATCTGAATCTGAGACATTTTATCTTTATTTACAAACCTACCAACAGTAGATTTCTGGTTTTAATAATACCTGAGACACAAACTTGCCTTGAGACTGCACAGCGTTGGACAAAATATGAAGTAACAAGAGTTATCTTAAGTCAAAATGTATCTGATGTTTTCCTAAATTCCAATTTAAAGCTGCAATGCAAGGACTATGTAAATAATATGGCAATAATGTGCTTTTGTTCCACATTGTTGACATGAATTTAGCATCTCTCTATTCATTTTGAAGGTTTTTGGAGGGCATTGTCCCTTGTGTAGATAATGCAGGGGAAATAGGCAGGAAATGTGGGGGGAAAGAGAAGACTTGCAACAAAGATCTGGCCTGCTGGGAGTCAAGCCAGGAACTTTTAGCCCATGTTTCATGCTTCCTAACCACTTTATCTGGTTGCCTCGGAGTTTGACATCTCATAATTACATCTTCCATCAAAAGTTTGATGTCACGCGTGGGTGATTTATTTTGTTATTCCATTGGTCGAAGCTTGGAGCATTAACATTAGCATCGGCTCAGTCTGCAGGGTGTTGCTGTCTGTCAAATGGATGATTTCAAGTCAAGCTCTTGGCAGGTGTCCTCCCAGTTGCCACGTCTTTGAACAAGGTGCTGAATCTCAAGATGATAACACTGTTACTGTTCTTGTGGAGAAGTGAAAGCGATGCGAAACCGACTTTGTCTCATAAAACAGCAAAGTATTTTGGTGTTTGATTGTTGTTTGGTGGTTCCTTTCTGCAGCTCCAAGACTGAAGGAACAAGCTCTACAACCCTGAATAGCATGAATGGGGCTTGAAAGTGTGTAAATGTGAGTTTTTCTGTCTCTTCAACTCTTGCAGGGGGTCCAGCAGATCAGGCTGGTCTGCAGCAGCTGGACACTCTCCTGCAGCTTAATGGCCAACCAGTGGAGCAGTGGAAATGTGTGGACTTAGCTCATGCCATAAGGTAATGATTCCACCAACACACACGAGGATTAGATTCAAACCAAAATGTTGAAGAATCCCCTGACTTAGGACCTATGATTTGAAATGTCAGATGGACTAAAAAGGTTCTTAGTGTTCATTTCACCACCACATTTGACTTACAGTTCAATCTTAGTCATTCTAGTATGTATGACTGCCTAAACAAGACCCTTGTGTTTAGTAGCTGAGGCTGCTGCAAGGCAATAACAATTCAATTTACAATAAAGCGAGGAGGGAATTGCTCTGCGATTAGATGTTGGGACATTAGTGTTTTGTCAGCGGGCAACAACATAATCTAAGTGAAGGGTTTGATGCCCTGTAGTTTCTCAATGTGTTCTCTCTTATATACTTTATTACTGTAATGTTGCTTTATTGGTACAGTTATAGTCAATAGTGGAATAGACTTACATAGATTTCTTTATGTGATGTGATTTTATTGTATGCAAATACAATAAGAAAACGGTCTGTTATTGTGCATTGTTTGTACTACATGTATTGTTTTGTGGGCTGCAAGGTGATTCAGTGGTTAGCATCGTTGCCTTGCAGCAAGGTCACCGGTTCGTGTCCCGGTAAGGACACCCTGGATCTTTCTCCGTGGAGTTTGCATGTTCTCCTCGTGCAGTGTGGGTTCTCTCCGGGTTCTCCGGCTTCCTCCCACACAGTCCAAAAACATGTTGAGGTTAATTGGTGATTCTAAATTGTCCATAGGTGTGAATGTGAGTGTGCTTGGTTGTCTGTCTCTAAGTGTAGCCCTGTGATAGACTGGTGACCTGTCCAGGGTGTCCCCTGCCTTCACCCTGAGTCAGCTGGGATAGACTCCAGCCCCCCATGACCCTAGTGAGGATTAAGCGGTGTATAGATGATGGATAGATGGATGGATATTGTTTCATAGTTGCTACTTGTCTTACTTCTATTTGACACAGTTTCACTAAATATGTTATAAACAGAAGAGATTTTGCTAATCGTCGTTTCTCTGTCTTGTTGCAGGAACAGCGCCAATGAAATCACCGTGGTGGTGTGGCGTACCGGCCCCTCCGTCAAACCTAACTTTGAAGGCCTCATCCACCGGCCCTCCTACAAACCCTCCACCTCAAACTACGACGCCCCCTCGCCCCCCACCCGCAGACGCGCGCCAGATGTCGGCCCGAGCAAAACCCCCCCTGCCGTGCCGCCTCTCCCAGCCCACCACCGTGCCACCGCCACCCGTAGGCTGCTGGTCAACGGCTCCGAAGCCGCTAACAGCGGCGGCCTAGGCATGGGGACCCTGGCGTGGGGGGCCCAGGGAGGCTCCGCGGAGGAGCTGGATGGGAAACCGCGACACCTCCACCATCCTCACACCGCAACGCTGAAGGGAACCAGGGTGAAGGCCTCCAACGGGGACAACTACATCATCCTGGCGCCCATCAACCCTGGAAGCCAGGTACCGCAGACTGGTGGTGGGCTGCATCTTCATCATCTTCTCCGTCCTCCTCATCCTCACCACGGTCACATGGTGGCTCATCCTAGATATGTGTCCTTACCCTTCATCCCCGGTGCCGGTAGATAGATGGACTGTGTGTTCAGTGTGTCTGGGCCATTTTGGGTTCCTGCTGTCTCATGTGTTTGTGCTCTACCACCTGTTTTCAACACAACTGTGCATTTAGTTCAGTGTCACGTAGATGCTGAGTGATAGACTGAAAAGCGAGAGGAGACAATCACGTATAAAATATAGCTTTTAATAATAGATATATTCCTGTATTATGTGAAGCTGTGGAAATCTGTTTCATTACATTCTACCAACCAGACACAGATAATAGGAGGAAAGCAATGCTTATGTACCTGACATCATTTATTTTCCAGGATATCTTATAGATTTATTATCTGTGTGCCATGAATTATACATCAGTACAACATTTAAGAAAGGATTCAACCAATTTTTTTTACCTTAATGCATACTTACTGAAACTTCTCCAAGACTTGGTCCATTGCCTAATATGAAGTATAACATGCATGTACATGCACAATATGACATGTATGTGACATTTTATACAGCATGTACGTATTTCTGCCTTGGGTGATCCTGTGTATGAGGTAAAAGCTTTGATCATAAAAACAAAAATAAAGCACATTCATTAAATCAAAAAGACTGATCTGAATTCCTCAGCTAACACCCCTGTAAAAAATATAATACTAACCTATTAACCACCTCAGCATAACAAACACGTCGAATCAAAGCATTCAGAGTGCGTCTGAGACCTTGCGGCAGTGCCCTCTGTGTCTTATTGATCGCAATCTCAGTTCACTCTACGGTCTCTAAATAGTTTCTCAACGCATATAAAACAGTTCTAACTCACTGAATCCTTTGGTATCAGCTGTAGGGTTCGGTTAAATTGTCTTTCACTCACATCCTTTTCTCTGTCTGTCTGTGACCAGAGGCTGTGTGTTTGTGTTACGTGTGTGTGTCTGTGTTTTGCTTCATGCCGTGTCCACCTTCATCTGTGTGCTTTTCAGGTTTAGGTTCAGTTAAAGGACACAGCAAATGTTTGGCAAAGGATAGAACCGCCGTGAGCAGTCTGAAACATGAGATCAGGCTGATTTTAGGAAGAAAGACCGATTGAGAGGAATGACAGACACTGTATAGCTTCAGGGAGAAGAGATGCGTGCCAGCATAGTGAACAAACCTTCCTCTTCAAATCGCTACAACTTCAATCTCAGACAAAAGAGGAGGCAGGGACTTGGTGAGATTTTGTCTTGGCCAGGCTAAATATACTGCGAGCCCTGTGGAAATGGGTCATGTTGGCGGCGTATCGCACCGACACAATAGTTTTGCTCGACAAACAAAGAGCTTTGAAAGCCCACATGAGAGGAAATATTTATCCTAGTGAGGGGCACAATCTCCTATAATCTTCTAATAAGGCTGGCAGAATAGTATGCTAATAATATGTATTTTTTAAAACATTTTCCAAACCTTATCCAACTGCTGTAGTTATGTGAACAACACGGGATGTGGTGGCAGCGCTCTGTCTTTACTCCCTCAGTAGATTTTAATGTGTTGTGACATGTAGAACCCATCTGTGGCCCTCTGAGGCTGAATGAGTTCTAGAAACTAAACTGAATGTCATATAAGGAATCGTAAATGATAATGTCCAGTTTGATTTATTAAAAAAAAAAAGATTGAATAGCAGATTTTCTTTTTAATGAATTTCTCTTTATAATAATGTGTCACGCTGCAAGCACTTAAATCTCACACATATATTCGACATCAGGTTAAGTTTAGAATGTTAATTTAGTAATAAAACACTGTCTCTAAATGTCTTTTGGTCACTGGGCCACTACAAGCCTACTTAATATTAATGCAACTTCATGTTATTCTGCTTTCAGATCTTGAGGCCTGTTTACCAAGACAACCAGGGGACGTTAGGTAAGACTGTATGTTATGTTCATAATTTAAAGGCTACAGTGAACTCTGGCTGCAATCCTTTTGTTTAAGTTGGCTTTGGATCATTATTACTTTGGATGGAGCCCAGTGTTCATTTCACTTTTGACTTCACATTTCATGTAATTGTTAATTTTAATGAACGTGCTTAATAACAGTTGGCACCCCGACGACTGGTATTAAATTAAACTGAGCTCAGACATGGAGTGGATGCAACAATACTGTTGAGGCTCAGTGTTTTTCTCATTTACTTAATTAAATTATGCATCCATTATGATTTTGTACTGGTGGAGAAATGCTACCTGTTGCTTTATGCTAAGCTAACAGGTTCCCGGCTTCCTCTTCACAGTTAGCACGAGAACGTCTTCTCATCAAAGTGAATGAACCTGTTACCCAAAATGTCACATAATTTAAAATCTCTGAAAGCGATTGCTCCACAGTATGATGCACCATAAATGACTTCAGTAATGCTTTTACTATCACCTGCTTCTACTTCTTTTTGTTTCCCAGCAGCCAGGTTATACCCCACTCGACAGACCTCGGTCCCACAGGCCCAGAGTGGCGGCGGTGGTGGCGGCGGGGTGTTTTCAGGAGGCATGAGTGGAGGCGGTGGAGGTGGTGGAGGAGGCGGTGGCGGTGGCCTCTCCAGCCGTACTGGCTTCCTCCGTCGATCCAACAACTCCAAGATATCAAAGGCTTCGTCCACCTCCACGAATGCCAGTGTAGCCAACTACCAACAGCAGAATTCCAATTTTGCCAACTACCAGAACTGCACCATCGTCCGTTCTCATACTCCGCATGGCAACTACGGATATGTCAAAGTGGCACCCAAGATCCTCATCTTTCCCATCTTTGTTCAGGTAGGCCAGTTTCTATGTGCTGTACAGTTGTGATTTTGCATTATGGCACATCTAGATTTCCCTGTGATCAACTACAACTGCATTAAAGTATTTGAGGTTAATTGGTGATTCTAAATTGTCCGTAGGTGTGAATGTGAGTGTGCTGGGTTCTCTGTCTCTAAGTGTAGCCCTGTAATAGACTGGTGACCTGTCCAAGGTGTGAGCTGGGATAGACTCCAGCCCCCCCGCGACCCTAATGAGGATTAAGTGGTGTATAGATAACGGATGGATGATATAATGGGTTGATTAGAAAGCTGAGGAAGAGTGAAGCACTAGTAGATTTCTTGTTATTTTTGCACACAGTGAGGCGAGCAGGGTGCTGCGTATTCTTTCCTATTTGACAGACCAATATGAAATAGTGCTGCCTGGATCTGAAACATCAAAAAAACTGCAAATAAGTGTATCTACAGATGTAGCAGTAGCGGTTATATGGTATGCATCTAAGACCAACAGGTCACATTGTAATCCGAAAACCACTTTTCCAAAATCAAACACAGAAATCCAGATGCAGTGGTGCAAAAAAAATGGCATTATACTACTCACGCCGGTTTCCCCCTACGCATTTGGTTCAAAAGGAAGCCGACATTTGAGGTTTGCAGTTAGGAGACGCTTTGACCTTTTTGTCTCGGCTTCTCATATTTTGCAAGTCATGAGGGTGCAATTTTCACACATTACACATTTTAGTTATGCAGACTTTTTGTGGATTTTTTTGCCTGCAGGCTATCGTATTTGATAGTCTGTCTGTGAAGAGAGATCAGTGTTGCAATCTGAGCAATCAGGACGGTTATTTCCTCTCCCTTCTCGTTTAAATACAGTACGAGAAAATGAGCCGTGTTAACCAAATTGAATGACTTATTTTGGCTTTCATTTGTGTTCTGTGTGACCTCTTTTAGCCCGTGTCTGCAAAAATTCAGCTGTGTGCCGACAAAAATAAATGAATGCCGTACTTTCTTGGTGAAATGAGAATTGGACGGTTTTCGTTATAGGTGAACACCCCTAAATTAGGAAGCAGAGACAAGTTATGTTAAGTCATGTGTTATTGCTAAATAAATCCTCAGTTCTGCATATGAGCATATATGCAAATGAATATCTTGTGTAAAATGGGATGAAAAAAGGGAACACTATAGTGAGATAAGACAAGTTCCACCTACTGCAACATGTCAGAAATACTTTTACTATCTTGAGCTCCTTTAGACTTTCACACCCAGGGACTGTGGTGGTGTTTCCTCTGAATTCATAGAGACTTACAGAAACCTACAGCCATAACCACGTTTCATATAGTATGCAAATATTACACACACACACTCTTTGTCATACCCTGGACTTCAGAGGAAGTCCCCTCCTCCCACCTTGCAGCACTAATTCATTTCAAGTGTCTTGTCATTGCCGACCACACGTTCCGCCTCTCGGTCGCAACTTGCTTTCTGTCTCAGTAGAATCAGTTGCAGTTGTTTCCCCACAGTGAAATTTAAAAAAATCTGTCAAGCAGATCGATTGGATTTAGCAGCCAAAATGGATTCGGTACTGTAACTTTTTTACCTTATCGATAACAATGCAATATTTTATCATCTGATTTTAGCTTGAGAAGTGGTTAGCATGTGTTCATAAGAGCAGGGGTGAGAGTGGTTAAGGGTGATAATAAAAACAACATTTACTTCTGGCTTCTGATGAACACCTTAAAACTATAAGTCATGATCAAAAGCCTCTTAAAATAAAGTCTTGTTGTTTTGTGCCCAGCCTCTGGACTTGTGCAGCCGAACTCTCATCATATCTGAGGAGATGATCCTACACGAGAGCAAACACCATTCTCTCAAGGTAAGTCGCTTCAATGCATTCATGAAATCGAGTAAATATGAGAGTATGACTTTGTGTGATGCAAGAATATGTATGCACAAGCTTCATCTTGTAGTTCCTAATTCAGTTTTCTGCATGACAATGTTGGTTGTTGTTGATGAAGAGAAAACATTATGCAAGATGTCATCTGAAGCTACAATGAGGAAAACCCAAAGGATGCAAATCTAGTGCATAGAAGATGCAGCATCTGGGCTCTTCTGAAGAGTTTTATCATTTCAGTTATACAATAAAATAACAAGGCTCCTTCTCCTCCTCTACCTCTCATCTTCTCTGCAGCCTGTGCAGTCTAAAGAGGCTGCAGAGGCTTCTCTCCTCTGCTGCCTTTTACACATTGCAGGACACAAGCAGACTAGTGGCACTTTGTTAGTTTGTCATGGCGATTTTTAAAAAAATTGGTCAAACTGTAAGTGATGGATCGCCTCCCTCCCAGTTTGCATCATAAGTCAAAATACAGGAGTTTTTTTTGTTTTTTTTTTAAAGAGTTATGCACGAATATTAAAAAAAGAGATAACAAGTATAAAGTAAGCTCCTCAGTGGAGGGCCAGCCAGGAGAGGAGAGGAGATGTCTGAGCATCTCTTATGAATTTGTAATTACTTTGAACTATCAGGTCCACATGAGTGAGGGGGAAAATGAATAATGGATGAAGGAGGAACGCGCCAAAGATCTGTCTGTCAGAGAAATTCTGTTTTATGTATCAGAAGAAACTGTAGCTCCTTCGATATATATATTTATATTTAATCATTCTTTCACAATATGTTAAGCTCAAGAATATTCTGCATTGTAATGTGACTTATGAAGTATATGTGTGACTGTTTCACCGGAAGTTTCATTAATTTAAATTATTTTATTCCATAATAAGTATTGTGTAAATGTCCAAAATAAAAACAGCATTGTTTCATGTCATTGTGAACTCCATTAGACTGAAACAAACCTAGGTCCGATAATAAAATCTGAAAGAGCAGCAGCTGCTAATATTTACTTTACAAATATTTGCATTATGTTAATAATTGTGCAATAATATGCAAAGAAAAATATGTGACGCAGGTGAACTTTCAATGTTGTTATAGTGTTTTAATAATGTAGATGTAAGAATCTGCAAGACAATTAACATAAATACAATGACACCCCTGTGTGTATATATATATTGAAATTTAAGGTCTTGACTTTGGGACGAGGGAGTCCTGCCGTAGTCGCCATGAGGTTTTTTGGAAGCATGTAGCGCCTGATCTGTGTCGACGGGACTGTTTGTGCAAAGAGAAAAGAGGCTTGTTGTATTGAATGAAGCATTTGCCACACTTCTTTAAAATGCCTTGTTAGATCATCTTTGCTGTGCACTGAAGTGCAACCACTGCTGGCCTGGAAGTGCGATCCTGCACTCTCTCTGGGGTCAGTCGTAAAACAAGTATTTAGCAGCCAGTGTTTGTCAGGAGGGAGTTTCTGTCCCCTGTGCCGCTTTATAGAGGTTTTAGTGATCGCTCTGTGTTGTTCCCACTTTTACTCTTTACTTACCAGAGTGGTGTCAGTCTCTCTGAGAGGTAACTGTCACACCAACACGTAGAGCTTTTATTGTTATGTCTGAGCATTATTAGTACTGCAGAACGCTGTGAAAGTGAAATAGCACTGACTCAACAGGTGTTACTAACTCTGGGGGGGAAAAAAAAGAGGTAATTCTACTGTAATTTTCGGACAATTGAGCGCACCTGAATATAAGCCGCACCCACTAACTTCAAAAAGAAAAAATAAAATGTACATATATAGGCGGCAGGTGTCCATGTTGTAACATGAGATATTTACACAGAAGATTTTTTTTTACTTTTAATTAAATGCGTACCGGTAACATACATAAATACGGAAATGTTTTTTTCCCAACAGTGCCTGTAACACGGCTTGTTAAGATAAATAAAAAATACAGCAGCCTACCAGGAAAAGTCATTGATCGTTATCTTCATCTTCCTCCTGAGCACCAAAACCACTAAAGTCGTCTTCTTCAGTGTCGGAATTGAACAGCCTCAGAATTATTCGTCACACACTTCCTCAGTCTCTCTTTTGTTGTCGCTCTCAATGTCACTTATGTCTCGAGGCATATTCGTAAAAATCCATAAATTAGCCGCATCATTGTTTAAGCCGCAGTGTTCAAAGTGTGTGAAAAAAGTAGCGACTTATAGCCCGGAAATTACGGTACATGCCATACATATTTGGTTTCCTACTATCTGCTTTTCGTAAGCACAGCCTGCAGTTCATCCTCATTTAGCCGAAAAATCTCCTGATTTTTGCCAAGTGTATGTTTGTCGCAGCTGAATCACTAATTACTTCCTGGTTGTGCTGAGGAGTGCCAATTTTTTTGTTTTTTACAGAAGTTGGTTAAAGCAAACAGTTTATTTTGGACAAATTTTTAAATAGAACACGTAGAGTGAGTGATTGGATGTTAAAAATCCTACAATTCTTTGTGTTTTTACAGTGTTTGGTTTTGATAAATGGTGCAATTTTGTTGATTTAAATGCAATCAACCAAAGAATACACCATGCCTTTCAACCCTGTCGATAGTTTTAACCCTATTCAGGACTTTTGGGGTCTTTTGGACCCCAGGCCATTTGGTTTAGGTGACAGGTATTGTTTTTTATATATTAAAAGAGGGACATTTGTCATGCATTTGGAACCAAAAATACATCAACTTATCAGAACATTTACTTAAAATAGTATAAAATTGTATAATGAATACCAACAAATATTTTGCATATTTTCTTTCTTGGGGTCCCGATAGACCTTCTACGTATGGCAACATGAAAGTCCTGGATAGGGTTAAGGAAGTAAACTGCAGTTTAGTTGTATTTAGAGACATTCATTGTTGCATTTATGTTGTATGCATGTGCAACAGAGAACCATCCAGAGTATTTGGTGCAGAATGCATTACAGTTAATATGCTCCAGTAACACATTTTAATCTCATTAAACAGGACTGCTTGTTTATGTGCATGTGTTTACTCGTATATATTGTAAGTTGCATGTTTGTCTGTGTGAAAACTGTTTGCCTCTCATGTGCTTTTGTCCTTTACTTTTGTCTTTACTCTACATTCACTTCCACCCACTCAAACCTACACACTTGCATGTTTACACTCCCACACACACACACACACACACACACACACACACACACACACACACCTACACACACACAGACACACACACACTTTCTAACCGCATGCTGGCTACGTCTGAAATACCCTCTCCGCTATCTCACCCTTCAGAGGAAGCCACCAAAGCAAAAGCATTGTCTTGAAGCGTTGCCCATCTACATTTAATTATACTGTATGTGTCGTGTTGCATGAAATCACGGACTCACATAAGCGGCCGTTTTTCTAATTTAGGTCATTTTTTTTCTTTCTTTTTGATCCTCCTTTTATCCATTTTTTTTCATGCTGTGTTTCTGTCTTCATTCATTTTCATTGTAATACTTCGCTGTCTTCTCACCTTTCTGCTGCAGAAGGAAAACAAGCCAGTCATGGGAGGCCTCGGCGTGTTGCAAAGCTCAAAGTCACCGACACAAATATCCTATCAGAAGTTTGTTTGCGTGAAGAGTTCGAGGGCGTGTAGATAATTTTCAGGCTACCGTGTTAATTCTTTTTCATGCATTTGCAGCAGTTGGTCACGCTGAGCAATAAATAACCTCCGTTATTTCTCGGAGACTGTGTTGTGCAAACTTGGAGTACATGAGATAAGTGTTATCAGGTTTAATAAAACGTGGGAAAGTGCTATCGGGGCCTAAGGCTGCACCATCATAGTGACTTTTCACTATTAAAAATGTAGCTCTGTAATGCAGCTGAGTAGTTTTTAAGTGTTAAAAGCATCGTTTGACAAGGGTGAAGTATGTGTGGTGAATAATTGAAAGCAGCTTTTTGTTATCTTGTTTATCTGTTGACGCCTAAATGCAGATGTGCCTGTAAAATTTGACCTAATTATAGGAATATTTATAGGAATATTTATAGACTTATGCATGAAATTTTAAATAAAGCCAAACAGCAGAAGAGCTGCAACAAAGGCAAAGGTTCACGAAATTTGGGCTTCATTCAAAAAATTAATTGCATTAACCCTGTGAATCCCCAGAAGTTACTGGGTGTTTGTTTTCACTGTGGGCTCGTTGTTCACTTCAATATACAATGCTGCACCTCTATGGAAGCAGTGCAATGTTTGGCACAAGTAGAGACGACCTCAACATGTCTTCTGTGCAGTATGTTGCAGTTTAAATGCCATAAAAACTTGCAATCAGAATGTAAAAGATTCTTCCAAGTGCCCACAGGTACAAGAAAAAAGGTTTTCTCTGCATACTAAAAATATTTCACTACTTTTTTTCTTTGACTTTTTTTTTTATTTTAAATTTGCTTTCATACTGTTTTCATTCATGTCTTGCGGCATTTAAATTCTTGAAGAATCACAGTCTGAGATTTAATCTTGTTCAGCCTCTAACTTGGTCATTCTCAGTTTTCAACGTCCTCTTCACCGTCTCCGTCTCTGCTGTGATGTCCACATTGAACATCTTCTCATTGTGTCTCTTTTTTTCAGTTTTCTGGTGGGTAGTAACCTGTGTTAAATGATGTCCGCACTGAGATGTACTAGTATAGCTGATGATACTTTACGTACCGCCAAACAGGATGGCACACAATTTCTGGGAGACTTTGTCTGATCATTGTGCATTAGATATAATTTAAAATGGATATGTAGTATGGAACTGGGACATAGTCACTGATTTACTTCCAAACTCCTGAGCTCAGGCCTTGTTAGGGCCTAATTTCTTCACAATTTGATTTATTATTGCGCTTAAATTTACAAATACAGTCGTGACTCGATAATCCGACATTAAATATAAAACCTTCTGCAAACACAGCCTGCAGTTCAGCCCAGGTCAGCCCAACGGTCCCTGAAATGTGGAACTGCGAGTTGTGGCTGAGACACGGATGCTGGTTACATGATCATTTTGGTGCATTCAGTTTATTTTTGGGGCTGCAAGGTGCCTTGGTGGTTAGCATCGCTGCCTCGCAGAAAGAAGGTCGCTGAATCACGTAGCCCTGTGATAGACTGGTGACCTGTCCAGGGTGTCTCCTGCCTTCACCCTGAGTCATCTGAGATAGACTCCAGCCCCCCACGACCCTAGTGAGGATTAAGTGGTGTATAGATGAGGGATGGATGAAAGTTTATTTTTGGCATTTTATTTAAACGAGGCATGTAGAATAAAGTGACTTTCATCAAATGTTAGGTTTTTTAAGTTTCAATTTGATCTTTTTTTCCCGACAAACCTGAAAGTCACACCGACGTTCAAGTACAGCCTGAAAGTGAATAATCTGACTCGTCTTCCTGTTTCACAGTTTCTAACTCCGATCACGGTGCAGTTTATTTACTTTTATTACAGGTCTTTCCGAGCTCTTCGGTGGGGTTTTGGGATTCGGAGGATGAAGTTCATTATTATCGTTAGCGATTGAAAGACAAGTTTAGGAATAAGTCAACGTAGCTTAAGGCTGCAGACACCAACCTGTTTCGATCAGGGCTAAAACCAGGAGGCTGCTCAGTCGATGTAAAATGAATGACAACAGTGGTATTTTGAGCTTAGAAGTAAAAGCCACGTTCTGCGGACATGTGAGCTAATTTGCTGAGAAAGAGGACCTTTAATGTTCGACAGGCTGCAAAACAAGACGTGGGAGGATATATAAGTATGGCAGCAATTATGTATGTGTGAACTGCATTTCCTGTGTTAGAAGAAGAGTTCGGGGGAAAACCTTCAATAGGGTTGTCGAGCTTTAGGCATCGCACTGGACTGCAGATTTGTAAAGTGTAAAGCCATAGTGAGAGCATGAAATCACATTTTTCTCCCCCCTTCGTTCTCACCTCTTCTTCCACCTCACCCCCTCACTTGACACCTTCATCCTCTTCTCTGATACTTCTTCACAATCTTCCATCTCTTTCAGGTTACGGTTTTCGTCTACAGCGACCTGATGCTGGTGACCAGAGAGAACGAGCCCGGCAGGTGTAACGTCCTCCAGAGTCCCCTGTACCTCCGACAGCTGCGACTCCAGGACGGTATGTCGGCCTAAACGCACCGTAAAAAACACATTTTGAGATGCTGAGATGATTCTATGGAGTCTCAGTCGTCTATGTCTTTGTCATTGAGGCTCAAAATGAAAAAAAAAAATGACAGCATTTATATTTATCCCCCACAATCTTATCTGCATGTTACCATATTAAACCACGTTTGACCTTTAACAGTTCAGCACAGAATTAAAAAAAATAAGAAAAGGGAAACATAGCACACACGAGCTGCGACACCAGAAATAAACATACAGCGCTACGACTGCGCCGTTATTTTCAGTCGAGCTTGACCAGAGGATATTTAGGGAAAGACTGCCCAATTTCCTGTTGCTTTGTCTTTTTATTTCACCTTGGTGTAAACAGTCGTCTCCTCTGGCAGTATGGAGAGAATAGTCTGGCCGTCATGGCCGCGCAGAACACCAGGCAAATCAAATAAATAGGGCTCAGTGTAAATATCTGTGTTTGGAGCGATGGGCGGCTGAGGGGGGACGAGGGCAAGGGTGCTGGAGGCATGGTTGGCATCGGGCCAGGACAAAGAGGGCACATACTAGCTGAAAACTGCTCAGCACAGGGGTGGGACTCTGCTCTAGCTGGCTGCATCTGGTCAGTAGATTATTATACTAGAGCAGGACGCAACCCTGAATAAGTTTAAGTGTGTGAGACGGCTGAGTGATGCTTGTAAGGCTAATTAGCAGAACAAGATGATGGAATAGTTGCTGTTAGGAGAGAGTGATTGCTTTAGTGTGATTTAAATTATGTATTGGGTGCAAATCAGCGGCGCTTTAAGTGATTAATAGGTTTGAATTTCCCAGTTGAGGGACGATCCCGACCTGCTGTGGAGGAAACCCGCCCCTCGTAGGTTTCGGTTTTAGCTATAATCTGCACCGCTGTTGCTCTGCTGTAGGCGAAAAGAGCCCCTTAATGTTTCCATTTCCATTTTTTGTTATACCCTAATTAGCTTAGGTATGTCTGTAACAAGAGAGAGAGACAAAACCAAACAAGTCTGTAATGACTGACCCACTGGTGGGACTGTTGTGGTGTCGGATCAATCAGATTACCCAGAGGCAGCTTTTAAATGTATGTAAATTAATGTTAATGCTGCTGAGTGTTGTGCTGAACGACTTCACTGTTTGTGTTTTAACAATAAATGTACATTAGTTTCAGTCACATTAATTTAATTACCTTTATTATATGCAAACCTGTCTGGTTTTCTGGTTTATTGTGTGCGGGACTTTCTTGTTTACTTTTTTATTGCGTCTCTGGATGCATGAAGTCCACAAACCTGTTACTTTGCCCCTCAGAGGAACACCAACATAAACAACAACAACAACAACAACAACAACAACAACTTATGAGTATGATACACTTTAAAAAGTTTATCATTTTTAACAGTTTTTAACTGTCATCTTTTGAACACTTTGATGTCATTTTAGAGATTTTTCCCCCTGTTTTGTTAAATTACAGACAATATCAAGTTAAATCACAGAAAAAAAAGTTGACTTACATGTTAAACCTGAAACATCTGACCAAAACTGTAAAAAAAAAAAAAATGTCCACATCACAAAAATATGTACTTTTAAAAACGGTAATTTGTTATTTTACCAGCTTGACACAACATTTCACTATTTAAAAAAATAAAAAATAAAAAATCGCATTTAATTTAGCAAAAAATAGCATTTTACTGACATATGTTGTTATTGGGAAGAAGAACTATGTACAAGGATTGAAAATGGTAAAACATTTATCACAAAATCTGTATTTTTATAACATAAAAATAATTTAAAAAAACCTTCATTAATTGCTCAGCAGGTAAATAAAAAAAGACAGCTAACAGTCATTCATTCTTTTACTATGTTAAGTAAAATTACATTGTTTTACAGTATATAAATCAACAAATAATATTTATTTATTATTATTGTTTATTTTTTAACAGATATTTGCTAATATTTTCATAATTTATTTTATTCATTATTTTTTATTTTTTATTTTCTTTTACAGTTTTTGAACTTTACAGTATTCCACTGTTTTTTAACAAATGTTATCTGGAACAACTGCTGCCAGAATTTTGTAGTTTTTCATTAGTTTTCACATTGGATTATTTATTTACTTATTTACAACATTGCACTGAAATTAGCTTCTGTCGTGGAAGAAAAAAGAGCTGCTACATTCAAATCCATAAATAAGACTCCAGTAAAACGTTTAAATGATCATCTTGTCCGTCTTTTTAATCTTTGTTTTTCAAAAATTCATTGATAATAATGGATTTATAATTCTGAGTATGATTTAATGTCTGTTGTACTGAATGACAACATGTTTCTCTACCTTATTACTTAACTGTAAAGTTAATGAGATGAGCTGTTATGTTTGTTGTGTTTGTGGTGTTGTGTGTATGTGTGTGAAACCCCAGGAAGAATAGTCAATGCTTATGCTGGTGCTAATTGGGATTCTAATAAACTAAACCAAACTCAACAGTATCCTACTTTTCATTTAGTTTTTATGACGTTTTTGTCAGAGCCAGCTGGGAGATGTTGTAGAGACACAGTTTCCACATGACTACGTCTGTGCTTACATATTTATAAGCTACGAGTTGAGCAAAGTTCAGCATTTTTTACATTTGTGCTTTGAAAACGTGACTGCTGAGTCAGACTGTAGGATCAGTGTGACTACCTTCATGCTCTTTGTCTAATTATAACCAAAAGAAGTGCAAAATACTGAACATTAATTTTAGTTTTTTATTTGCAACCCTGCAACTTAAATTAAAAAATCACCTTTTTTTGCAGCCAAAGTTGCAGTGGAGAAGACTTGTGCTAGGATAAACATCCAATAAACACTCTAGCACATGCATGTCTGAATTTAAAACACTTGATCCAGATACATGGTGACCTGAGCTGCACTGTCCTCCCCACAGACACCACAGGTCTCCTCTAAACCTCCCACCTGCACCCAAACATCCAGCCATCTCCACGGCTGAGCCTCGGTCAGCTTCGCATGTCTCTCTGTGTGTTTTTCTTGAGAGGACACATGCACACTGACACACACATCTCCGCCCTGCTGCCTGTCATTGTTATTTCGCTTCGGCAGCGTCACTCAGGAAAGAGGCGCCGGGGGATTGTGTTTGTTTCAGCGAGGGCGTGTTTGGCGTGTGTGTGTGCGTGCATGTAATGACACAGGACAAGTTCAATAAAGGGGCTTTCCTGTGTTCCTATTACCCCAATAGAAGGCTGAGGAGCGTGGGAAACAATGAGAGTGGTGAAAAAAAAAACGCACATAAAGCCAAAATTAGCACGTGTCAATCCAACTATTAGCTTTAGAATAAAAAAGCCTGATAAGAGTCTCACCTTTGCTCTACATGAAGCAAAACCTTCAGAGATCTCCTGCTCCAAAACGTTGAAACCAGCAAGAAAGTATGTTGGCACTGCATGAAGAAGGGTGTTTTCTTGTTTGTTTAGTGGACGAATGAGAACACGTGACAGTGAATTGTGAAACTACAACACCTTTAACATACCAGGAGGTCACTGCTATCCGGAGAATCTACTTAAATTTAAGATTTAAAACAACAAACTTTTCAAAAATTCAGAAAAAGATTAGAAAATATCAAGTGTTTTATTAGAAGTACTGAAAGTAGGATCGTTTTGTTGGCCGAGAGCATAATTCTTTAATCCAAAGACACTTAAATATGTAAGTTACTCCGTTTTTTTACATGATTTTATGAACCCACCAGCCTGATCTTGCAGCACTCTGCTGCACAACAGCACTCTGTTGGTTTTAAGACATCCAACACTGACCTCTGCTGTTTGCTGGTTGCAAAAAGACGACATATATTTCAGAAACTGGTTCAATGCTTCACATGGGTCCTGCTGCTCCTATCAGAACACAGCAGCTTTAAAGAGGAACCGGTCTTACTCCTCTTGATGTGTATTCCTTTAGTTTACAAACCTTGTGGAGACATTAATGTAATTCAGCGACACTTGAGGAGATCTTTGTGCACTTCAGCTGCAGTGGGATGTTGCTGTCTGCCATCACTATTCAGAGCTGTTGTGTCTGGATTCATATGCATCCCTAAGAGCTATATATTAATATTCTGCCTCATCTTGTTGGAAGGCTCTTCTCACCTCAAATCATTACATTTTTCGAACAGTTTCTGCTGCACCATCTCTGATTTGTCTGATTTAAAAAAAAAATGGCATCAAAAATAAATATTTCTAAAGATATGTGTAAAATTGAAGCTTGATGTAGCAAATACTTTTTGAGATAAGATAATTTTATTTTATTTTTTTTAATTTATCATGCCATTGATCCGGGATCTGCAAAGTTGGACAAGTAGATCAAATTGATTATGAGGCGTTGAAATATGAAAAACACATAAAGGTGTCATGAAAAGTCCCTATTTGAGCACACATTAACCAAAAAGCAGATAATATTTTCTGATATTATGTTGATTCACAATATCGGTGGTTAGCATCGTTGCCTCACAGCAAGAATGTCGCTGGTTCGCATGAGGACACCCGGGATCCTTCTGCGTGGCATTTACATGTTCTCCCCGTGCAACGTGGGTTCTCTCCAGGTTCTCCGGCTTCCTCCCACAAGGTCCAAAAACATGTTGAGGTTAATTGGTGATTCTAAATTGTCCGTAGGTGTGAATGTGAGTGTGCTTGATTGTCTGTCTCTAAGTGTAGCCCTGTGATAGACTGGTGAGGATTAAGTGGTGTATAGATAATGGATGGATGGATGAACATTTCAGGCTTTTATCTTAATTAAATCCTGAAACATGGCCTCAAACTGCGAGGTGCTGAAAGTTGAACCTTAACCTTAATGTTAAGGTTAGGAGCGTGTTGAGCTCACTAGGATTGGGTCGACAGCATTAGTTACTGTCTGAATCCTCATTCTTGCACTTGTGTGTAAGTTTGTGACAAAACACGAGCTGGGTTATGCAGATGTAGAGAATGAATTCCTACGTGTCCCTGGAAGTGAAATAAACACTTGAGTTGTGTAAACATGAGTCAGCTAGATCTGATCATTGTGCTTCGCTTAATCATCCTTGTGGAGTGGGAACCTCAGTTACAAAGACCTTTAAAACACCTTTTATCAATCTATTTTCTACCAAAGGCTATTTTACATAGAAAACCTCAGTTGTTTTCATGTTTTTGTGTTGCACTGTTTTCACTGATTTCAAGAGGGGGAGCCTCATTTAGTAAAAGGTGACGTCATCAGCAGCATTGGAATCAAAATCAAATCAAATTCAAATCAGATTAAACCACACACACACAGAGATGATCTAAGTTATGACCCCTTAATAAATAATATTTAGTGAAAATTTTTCTTAGTTTCTTGCAAATTAGGTCATTAATAACAAAGGAAGACTTAAGATTGGAATCCAAATTCTCCAAGACACCATCTAACCAAACTGAGCTCCTTGGACGTAAATGGATGGATGTGTTGTCATGTGTGTGTGTACTTATGTGAAATAAAATACAGAAGGAAACATCAGCCCAATGTATGGACTTTGTGGCTGTGTTTGAGTGTGCGCGCACACTCGATTAAAACCATTTATCTTGACTCCAGACCCCCGGGCCTGTCTCACACAGAACGCTTCAACAGTGAATTATGGGAGGACGTCTTTAGGGCTGACCTACAGTAAAAGCTTTCCATCAGTGGAAGCATTTTGGCAAAATCATAATCGGAAATCAACAAATGCTGCTTTATGTACCAGAAGCACTGGAGTGAGTTAAAATAAAAAACAAAGGGGCAGCTGGTTAAAGATGACGCAAAAGAAAGACTTGAGATTAACTTCTTCTTTATTTTGTTTTGCAGATTACGCCGAAGAACTGAGATTCTACCTTATTCACATGACGGAGGTAAGAGACTGAGAGTGTTGGAAAGGGGGAGAAAAAAAAGAAAAAAAGGGAAAAAGAAAGAGGATAAAGGAGGGTCTAATGTGAACAGCCTATTTCGTCTTGTGAGCCGGAGGGGCAATTGACTCCGGTGGAAATCACATTACAGGGAAGACACAAGGATTAGCAGAACACGCTAATGAAAATGTCTTTTCTCCGTGTGGCTTTCTCAGATGTGACTCCATCTCAGGCCTGCCTCTTTCACACATGCAACACAAGAATTTTTTATATTTATTGCACAACCGGAAACACAATGAACGCACACTTTTATGTGTGTTTAATTAGCAGCTGTTGCATCATCAGACAAGTCACGATAATAGAACAGAATCATTTTTTATTGGGCGACATTTACACGCCACAGCAGCATCCAAAAATATAGAAAGAAAGTACAAGAAAACGACAGTAATTAGTAATAACCGTATCTACATTGAAAAAGAAAAACAGATTGTGCAAAACTACAGTACAAAAATGAATTCATGACCATAAACTGTCAATTTTATCAGTTTGGTCAATGTCAGCTGGTGATGCTGATGTTGTAAAGTCGTACTGGAGTTGGGAGGAATGACCTGTGGTAGCTCCTTCTTGCAGAGAGGATGTCTGCTGCTGTAGGAGCTACTTAAAGCCCCCACATTCTCCAGTGAGAGGGGTTGTCCATGATGGATGTGAGCTTTGCATCCTCTCACCCACCTCCTCTATGGAGTCCAGGGAGCAGTCCAGGACAGAACCGGCCCTCCTCAGCAGTCTGTTTAGCCTCTTTTCCGTCCCTGTCTGTGCTCCCTGCTCCCCAGCAGACAACTGCATCGCACCACAATGTCATAGAATGTCCTGAGCAGACAAATGTCCTGACGTAAACAACATCTTCACTCATCGAGCTGATTTTCAAAACACATAAATATGATGCAGCTGTCGTTTTACAGTTGTCTTCATATTTATTCATATCCTCCCATTAAAGAAGTAAAAGAGCATCTCTCACTGAAATAAGTTGAAATTGACAAAAGTAATAATAAATTTAATGAAAATCATGACATTGCTTTGGAATTGTGGTTCATCAGAAATATTAAAACAACAACAACAAACAAGCAAACAAGCATGATGGGACCCATAAACTAATATTTTGTTGAACAACCCTTTGAGCCAATCACTGCAATCAGGTGTTTTCTGTAACTCTCCATCAGACTTCTGCACCTGTTGACAGGTGTTTGGATTTCACTGCTCATCAGCAAAGTGCTCTAATTTGAACCTGGACAGTTTTGTTTGTTTGTTTTTTAATTATTCTTTTCAACTACAATTCAAAAGCGATGTCTTACTTCACTAAATTATAATTTAGCAAATTTTTATTTATTATTGTTTTTTCAGTTTCTAGTTATTTGAGTGACTGTTGTGAAATTTGCCTTTTGTTTCATGGAAGGGTCTGAATATATCTGACTGTAGATTGTGATTTGTTTTGTTGTTAATTCGAGCTACTGTGAAAAAAAAAAATTCCCTCCTGCACCTCTCCAGCTGTCACTTTAAGATAAAAGGTCAAGCAGAGTTATAAATGAAATAAAAATGACACATAAAAGGCAAATATTTCTCATTGTTTCAGCAGATTGACAAAAAAAAACACTTTTTTTTCTCCTTCATTTTTGTTGGATTTCTTACTCCATCGCTGCTAATTAGTTTAAAATCATATCTGTGGGATTCCACATTTCTGTCTGTCCTCCCAGTACTCATTACAATGTTTAGACAGACGCTCTTAGATTATAATAAACCTAATAATTTGCACTCAAGCAGAGCAGGAGGAGGGAGAAGGAAAGCTGCTGAGCAGTAGACAGAAACAAGGAAGTTGTTATCTGACAGTTCTTCTTAGGATCTGATAGTTTTGCAACCTGTTTGGATGTTGTTCAGTCTTCGTCCTGGAGGATCTCCTGTTGTTAAAGACTGTATTAGCAGGAGGTGGCTCATCCTCTCCTCTTTTCTTCACTCTTCCTTCTCCACTCTCTGCCATGCCTTGATTGCATTTTTTTTTATTTTTTTTAAGTTTGAAATATGTGCAGAAATTAGACGACACTTTCATCATCCCTTTTTAATGTTGCCATACATCAGCGCCTCCACTCATCACTTCCTACCACCATCTCACGCTGCTGTTCGTATCCGACTGTAACGAACCAACATCGCATTATGCAAATCTGCGGAGGACTTTTCCACTGTGCTTTGTGTCTGGAAACATTACCGCAATCACCTCCAGCAGATTAATCCTGATTTCAAACGTGTCGTCTGGGAGAGCATAAAAGCGTTCTTCACAGCGCTCAAGTCGGTAAAAGCAGCTTTCTGAAATAGCCATGCAGACTCGTGGTTCTTAGCGGGAACGTGTTGCTGTGTGGCGCCGATACACGACTCCTTTTGAGCCCTTCGCCAAATCGAATCAACTTTTAAACATCTGCATGCAGCCACACTTATAAATAACTAGAAAAGTCAGAGATGACGTCAGGAGCTTTGTTTTGTCGCTTAAATCAATTCAGTTCAATTCCTTTTTCATTCATTTAGCACCAATTCGGAGTCATCTCAGGAAACTTCACACAATTAGGTCATATTGTATTACACAGGGAAACTCCGTGAATCAAATAAATCAATTAGAGCAAACAATTGAGGGGAAAAAAACATTACATTATGGAATGATTGCTATTCACAACTGGTAGCCACAACTAGAAAACGAGAAGAGAATTAGAAGCTATCAGATGTTAAGTGAATGTGACTAACACACTGAAACAATGGATGCAGATGGAGTAACTTACACCCTACTTGGTCTGAATTTTGAAGTAAATAATGTAAATTGTTGCACCATTTAAGCCAACAAGTGGTCAGTGCTGGTTAAAAATGAGACCTAAATGTGTTCTAGTCTGCTAAGAGAGAAAAATAAGGATTTTGACAACAATAAACCAGATCTAAAATAAAAACCCAACTCATGATGAAAGTGTTATGAAGAAAAAAAAGCACAAAACAGTGTAAAAAAAAAGTTCTTTAACCCTATTCAGGACTTTCATGTTGCCATACGTTGAAGGTCTTTTGGGGTCAACTGGACCCCAAGAAAGAACATGTGAAAAATATTTGTTGGTATTTATTATAGACTTTCTTATAAGTTGATGTATTTTTGGTTCCAAATGCATGACAAATATAAAAAAAAACAAATCTTCAGAAATAAAAAAATGACAATACCTGTTAGCAAAACCAAATGGCCTGGGGTCCAAAAGAACCTTAAAGTCTTGAATAAGGTTCAACCCATCGACAAGGTTGAAAGGCACGGTGTATTCTTTGATTGATTGTTTTTAAATCAACAAAATTGTACCATTTATCAAAACCAAACACTGTAAAAACACAAAGAATTGTAGGATTTTTAACATTGCGAAAGTTTTTGAGCCATCTGTCACTTTATCCACATGTTTCATTTAAAAAATTGTCCAAAATAAACTGTTTGCTCAAACTAACTTGTGTGAAAAACCAAAAATTCGGCACTCCTCAGCACAACCAGGAAGTAATTAATGATTCAGCTGCGACAAACATTCACATGACAATACCTGTCACCTAAACCAAATGGCCTGGGCTCCAAAAGAACCCAAAAGTCCTGAATAGGGTTAAAGGAGAGATTTTTCTGTCTTAACTTAATGTTCACATGCCCATGTGTACATTGAGTCTAAACCCACCTTCTAACTCGGCCTGCTGAAGCCTCATATTAGCTGAAGTTAAACTTTAGAGGTTTACTTTCTTCTTCTTCTTCTTCTTTTTTTTTTGAATTGCAGCTTTTCAAGACTGCACACACACACTGAAGGTTGAAGGTCTCAGAACTGGCTTAAAATATAAGCTGAAGAGACAGCTGAACTATTTTCCTTTTTTAAATCCATCCAGCCACTGTGACTCGTCTGCAATTTGTTTGGGCTGTAAACGTCTGCTCCCGTGGTTAATCTTTTTACTGCGCAAATATATAACACCGCCCCCCCTCACCCAACACACACACACACACACACACACACACACACCAACGCACACACACACTGTTACGCTATTTTTTGCTTTGAAATGTGCTGCGTAACTTCATTAGCAGCTTATGAATCTTTTAAAGGGCCTCTTTTTTTCCCCCCTCCCTCCCTTAAATTCCAGGCAGAATGAGAGAGGCCTGATATCTATCCCACAGGCTGGAAAAGAAGAAAGAGAAAGGCTCCAATATTATTCAGTCTATCCAATTAGGCAACATATATAAATAGAAACTCTTATGCAAGACAGCATGCGAGAAGGAGAGGAAGTTTGAGTTAGTTAAAGGCAGATTCTGGAACTTATACGTCAGATTCAAAAGGTGTCAGCTTTTGCATCGTAATGGCTTTAATTATCATATTTCAGTGTTGTATTATTTCTTAATGAATTGATTATATTGTGTAATTCTTATCTGGTTTTATCTGTTTGTTCCTTCGGGCAGGTTTTCTATTCGAGATCTTGAGCGTTAATACGGCGTTAATGCGGCTGTGCACAGCTATTTGCTATGGAGAGATTTAGCAGAGTAATGGTTGCCTTTAGGAGAAAATGACGTCACACTTCCCTCTGTGGGTGTCTTGACTGATCTGAGACGCTCTGTTTTCCGGTTCGGGAACATGTGGATGTGAGTCCCTCCCTTTGAAACTGTTGGTCTTCCTCGTGTTTGTAAGGAGGCCGAGAATGACCTCCGCTTGTATCAGTGCAGAAAAAATCCCCAAGAATTACTAAAAAAGAAAACAGAAGATCAGTATTTTATCAGTTATTTGCAGAATATATGTGCACTCTTTGCATTTTAGCGTACTGTGAATCTTTACTGGTGTTTCGCTGCACTGTCTATTCTCATCTGCTCTCTATATGTTTAACGTGAAGAAGAGACACGTGAAGATAATGTTGCTGGAGTTGACTCGTTTTGAGCCTTCAGTGCAGCCTGTGGTGCCAGCATGGGCTAATGGTTGTGGCTC